ATTCCTGGCGTAGAAAAAAAGCAGATACACGTACAGTCATCCCTCGGTATCCGTGGGGTATCGGTTCCAGGACTCCCATGGATACCAAAATCCACGGATGCTCAAGTCCCTTATATAAAATGGCATAGTAGTTGCATAACCTACGCATGTCCTCCCATATACTTTAAATCATCTCTGGATTACTTATAATACCTAATACAATGTAAATGCTATGTAAATAGTTGTCATACTATATTGTTTAGGGAATAATGACAAGGAAAACAGTCTGTACATGTTCAGTACATGTACCTAGTACCATCCTAGGCCTTTTGATCCACAGTTGGTTGAATCTGTGGATGCAGCACCCAGGGATACAGAGGGTCAATTATAATACAAAACAGACTAATTTACAAATCCTAAAGTAGAAATATCAGTGTGAACTCCTACAGCATTTTATCTTAGCTCTGTGCACTAAAGAGGCCTAGAAACAATGAACCAACCTAAGGCAATGAGCACACCTAGAACCTAGACAGAGTCCTTGAAATACTGTTTTCTACTAAAAGTTACTAGCGCTTCTTAGAGAAATGGCTGATTCCAGGATAGGGGGTGGGTGTGGAGGGTAGATCTTGCCATTAGGGAAAGCAAAGAAGCTTAGGGTCACTTCAAAAGGACTCAGCACAGTTGCCTAAGGTTATGGGTGGAAATGGGGAGTGACTGCAAATGGGCACATGGTTTCTTTTGCAGCTGACAGATACATTCCAAAATTAGATTGTGGTGATGGCTGTACAACTCTATAAATATACAAAAAAAAACTGAATTGTACACTTAAAATGGTGAATTTTATGAGTTATAAATTATATCTCAATAAAGCTGTTTAAAAAAGAGAGGGCTAAAAGGACTCATAAGAACTTGAAGAGGCACTCAATACCCAAAAATAGGAAAATCTGACCTTCAAAAGGTATGATCCCAAATGAATAAAACCCACAAAATATTTTTAAATCCATAAGTTCATGAGGATATTTTTTAAAAATCTGGTGATTACACAAGTGTAATCTACACTTGTGATAAAACTGCATAGAACTAAATATACACACATACAAATGAATACATATAAAACTGGTGAAATCAGACAGAGATAAGTAGATTATGTCAGTTGTCAACTTCCTGGTTGTGAAACTGTACTATGGTTATACAAGAATTGGAGGAAACCAGGGGAACAGTACACAGGATCTCTGTGTTATTTCTTACTACTGCATGCGAATCTATAATTATCTTTAAATGTTTAATCAAAAAGAAAATCTAGGGCCTGGCCCCATGGCCAAGTGGTTAAAGTTCCCCGCACTCTGCTTCAGCAGCCCACGTTCGCAGGTTCGGATCCCAGATGCAGAACTACTCCACTCACCAGCCATGCTGGTGTCACACATACAAAATAGAGGAAGAGTGGCACAGATGTTAGCTCAGGGCTAATCTTCCTCAAGTGAAAAAAGAGGAGGATTGGCAACGGACATTAGCTCAGGGCAAATCTTCCTCGGCAAAAAAGAAAAAAAAAATTTAATTGGTCCTTTTTGAGAGTAGCAGGGAGCCAATTCATTTTCTTAAAAGCTAGCAAAGAATCAAGCATTTACTCTACCTTTCCCACATGAACTGTACCAATGGTTAAGAAAATAGCAGATGGAGGGAACCATCTCTTTATAAAAGTATCTCAATTAAGAGCTAGCCCTGATGGCCTAGCAGTTACAGTTCGGCAAGGTCCACTTCAGTGGCCAGGGTTCAGTTCCCAGGTACGGAACCTCACTACTTGTCTGTCAGTAGCCATGCTGTGGTGGTAGCTCACATAGAAGAAGTAGACCTACAACTAGAATATACAACTATGTACTGGGGCTTTGGGGACGAAAAAAAAAGAGAGAGGAAGATTAGCTCAGAGCGAATCTTTCCCAGCAAAAAAAAAAAGTATTTCAGGGGCTGGCCCGGTGGCACAGTGGTTAAGTGTACACGCTCCGCTTCGGTGGCCCGGGGTTCACAGGTTCAGATCCCAAGCGCACACCGATGCACTGCTTGTGAAGCCATGCTGTGGC